CCAGTGTCGGCGGCTTCAGCACTGTAACTCGAAATCGGCAAATTATTATTAAACCTTCGTTGTACTTTAAAAAGGGTATCGAGATGCTGTCGCTCATATTTTAGAGGTCATACCGCCTGGGTAACAAAGTTTAATCGGGACAACAAGGTGATCGGCAGGACAGGACTGCACGGCCTCTTTTCTTACATTTTCACAGACAAAGACTTGGTCTAAGATACTGTTCTGTACGCCGCGCGGCCGACGTAAGCACCAGAAGCCCAGTGCCAAAATGGTTTAACTCGGCTCGGTAGTTATTTTTGCTCCAACTATTCAAAGACGCAGAATTTCAGAAAACAATTTACAAATGTATCTTTTGAACAAGTTTAATAAACATCTCTTTCAACCATATCTTGCTAAAGCGCGGGTTGTGGGTGTGGTCGAAATACTGCCCGCCTATTGGTCCCCGCTAGGCTGGCTTGGATGGGAAATTGAGGTTCCAGGGGGGGGGCAAGATTCAAGTTCGGGCGCCGAAGGCGTCCGTCAGCGAGCGCCGCAGTCGCGAGTCTGCTAGGGGGGTCCGGGGGCATGCCCCCGGGAAAGTTTTAGTTTTTAACCCCCCTGAAACGCTATTTCCAGCATTTTGAGACCTACATTTTGACTGGACGGCATTATCGGTTGTGGATTGGACCATTTTGAAATCAGCCTACGCTCTTATGATCTCATGGATTACGCTTTACGTCGCATAAAAGTAACTAATTACGCTTTACGGAGAATAAAAACGACCAATTACGCGTTACGGCTAATGTACCGATTACGAATTACGATGATTTTGGACGGCCGCCTACGGATTACGAAGGCTAAAAAGGCCTGATTACGCCTTACGAAAAAGGGCTTGCAGGCCCTCATGTAAGACCTGCAAATGTTGAATACAGTACATGACGCAGACCTTTCCAAAACCTTCCTACAGGGCAGTGGTAGATGTATGAAGTATTTTCAGAGCTGATAAATGTACAGTAGCTGGCCAGCTGAAAGTCTTTCAAAAGGATTTGAATTTGACACTTGATGCGTTCATGGTGTTCTTCAGGAACTGCCATGGGTTCCCCTTGAAACACATTTTTGGTGAGAAAAATTTGATTACACAAAAGAGGCTTGATGAGTTTAAAGTTAACACAGAGGAAATTAAAAATTAACCTGGTTCTAAATGTGCAAAGAGCAAATGTAGAAGCAAGAAAGTTCCTACGTCATTGTAACAACATTAGTCACCAGGCACTGTTGTGTAATTCATTAATGTTTGACAGACTTTTATGAAGGTTGCAGAGTTTCTATATAGAAGTAGTGCAATTGGCAGACTAGTAGAATTCTATGGACTGTTTTGTACAATAGTAGTCCTAGTATGGGTGTGAAACGAATAGAAAAAGCTGGATGTTCAAATGACTTGAAAAAAAAGTCTGAAGTACATAACGTTACATGTAGCTGGTGGCACAGGCAACTCTGTATGCCATAAACTGTTCACTTATGTAAGGATGCCTTGTGTATGTCTTTCTATGAACGATAACATTCCAAAATGGTTTGAGTGAAGAAATGATTCAGCCATGTTTTCTTACATTGGTAGTGACAGGATTTCTTGTAGAAATTGAGTAACTGTCAGCTTACACTGGTGTCAGGAGTGGGATTTCAAGAATTAAACTCATTCTAGCAGTGGTAAGAGGTTACCAGGATGTCAGTCATGCAAATACTTTTGCATGAAAGGAAAGGTACCAAAAATAAAGACTTGAAAATGTCTTCGAAGCTCCATG